TGGTGTTTTTTGCCATTTGTAAGTAAAAATCTTAATTGTTGTTTAGGCAAAAAATTATTTCATTTTTATCTATTTTCAAGCGAATAAAAACGTTTTCGAGCCAAAACTGATTTTTTTACATTATTTTGCTAAAATTGCTAAATTAGGGGTCGAAAACGACATTGTTTTCGTTTTTTTCACCCAAATGAGCCAAAAAATTAGCAAATTTAGTTGAAAATGGTATATTTTTTTAAACTGTGGGTTAGGATAAATAGTACTCCTAACTATTTGAAATTTCTTGCCACTTTCAACAACAAAATTCTAAATTCCATAGTTTTTCACAAAAAGAGGTCTTTTGCGTTTTTCGATACAACCCTATTAAAAAACGCACTCCTTTCAGAGGGTGTAGCTCTTTTACATTACTTTTGTCTTAAAATTGAATACTCTTCTACCTGTTCAAAGTAACAATAAAAACGGAACACCTGTATACAGGGTGTTCCGTTTTTATTGTTACAAATTTAAACAAGTGATAGGATATTCAATTCTAAGACAAAAGTTTCCTATAAACATGTATCGAAAAATGCTTGGTAAGGGAGCTACAGCTCCTAAATGGGGGCTAATATGTTTTTTCAGAAACCATTTAAGATAAAATTACAAAATTTGGTACAGATGATGACCTTTATACACCTAAACGAATTCAAACATCAAATGTCGAAATTTCTAATCAGGGGCGTCCGAAACTGGTGGGGTTTAGGGTAAAAAAATACCCTATCAATTTTGGCTCTAGTTTCTTTAGTTATGCATTGACCAAAATGGTGGTCACTTTGAACAACTCCTTTAGATTTAGGCAAATTCATTTAATTAATGTTATTATTGTTACTGTAATGTAATGTTAATTAGTTGAGGTTGATTAAAAAATATGAATTTCTTGCTTTTATTATTCTGTAAATTCTGAGTGATTTGAATGTTGTATTGGTGTGTAACATATATTTTAAATTAATTTTATTCAAAAACAATAAGTCGTATCGACACAAGGGAAACTTTTCTGTGATAAACTATCGAACTTAAGATTTTGTTGCTGAAAGTATCGAGAAACTAAAGCCAAAATAAATAGGGTATTTTTTTACCTTAAACTCGTCCAGTTTCGTACGCCCCTGATTCAAAATTTCGACATTTGATGTTTGAATTCGTTTAGGTGTATAAAGGTTATCTTCTGTACCATATTTTGTAATTTTATCTTAAATGGTTTCTGAAATATTATCAAAAACATATTAGCCCCCTTTCACGGGGTGTAGCTCCCTTACCAAGCATTTTTCGATACATGTTTATAGGAAACTTTTGTCTTAGAATTGAATATACCATGACCTGTTTAAATTTGTAACAATAGAAACGGAACACCCTGTATATTTTTAAATTTTACTATATAATGATCGCTAATGAACTTTTTCAAGTCGCTGATACACCCTGTATAATTTTTTAAAATTTTTAACAGTCGATGTATAAAGCCAAATTTTTTACTTTGGTGCGTACTATTTATTGACGCCAAAGTAATTATTTGAAGGCAAGTTTTCCTAATTGTGACTAGTCATCAACGGGATAATTAAGCCGCTCTGATAAGAATCACATGTTGTTTGCTCGGTACCACCGTCACAAGTCACCAAGAAGGTCACTTCCACCCTTTGGACTGATAAGAAAGGTACCTCAAAACGGAAAAGGAGACCCACTTATCCTATATTTGAGGTCGGAAAGTACCGTAATTTTATGAAACGTTGCCTACCTGAAACGCGACCCAACAACATGAAGCTACGTGGACATCCTACTCCTACCTGTAGACAACGACGTAAGTTAGTTTCTTTAGTTAGTATTTCTGTTAGCGGCGTTCAATGAACTTGCGGTTTAATGAAGCAAATTTGAAAAAAACCGACCAAATGGTGACATAAAACACACCTATGGCAGTGGTGATATGTGGGGAAACCTCCCAAATGACCCTCGTGATATGTGATATGTTGAACGTGTTTTGTTAAGTCATTAGTTTGAGGTTTTCGTACATTAAAATGCACAATTCTGCTCCTAGAAAAAGCATCGTTTGGGCGTATGTTTGGTGGCTGTTTGGGGGCATTTTCGGCTTGCATTTGTTCTATCTCGAGAGGGATGCACACGCGTTCCTCACGTGGAGCACCCTGGGGGGCTACGGGCTGGGTTGGCTGGCCGATGTTACCAAAATCCCAAGGTATGTCAGGGATTGCAACGATGATCCCAAGTTTTTGGAGGAGTTGGGCGAAAGGATGAGGAGGAACAGAAAGGTAATTACCACGAAATTAAACTTTTGCTATTAACTGATAATGTGGTTGTTATCGACGAAACGTGCGGAGGTGATATTGTTAGAAATTGGGCGTTTTAAACAAGGTTCCCGATGTTGTGATGTAACGAATTTACTTTCATACAAACGCAAAATAGGATTAAATGAAAGTGACCGAATTTGTTAATAAAAATAAAATCTTCCGAAATTATATGGAAAAATCCACTACTAGTTCAGTCAAGTGAAGACTTGTTGCTAATAATTTTTGCTTCCGGTTCACTACTCGTATTTGCAAGAAATGTATTTTCTCAACACTTAATTAATATTTTTAATTTACAAGCAAAAAATGTAAAAAAGTAATTTTTTATTTTGTGTTTCTAACAACCCGTTTGGGTGCGTTAACAGTCTAGTGAATTTTTTGTTTTAATGTTAGTGACAGTTTTCGTGTCACCAACTGACGCAAAGTTCCCTAGATTTAAAAATTCTTTTTTTTTTAGAAAACAGAGCAGAATAGGAAAAAATTGTATAAAATATTCATTACAGAAGGCCGTTTAAGCAGTTGTTTTTTTCAATAAATGTCAAAGATGAGAGAGAGTTTGGGTGTTAGACTACTGTTTTGTATTTATTTTGTTTAAAGAAAAAACAATTTATTAAAAAAAACAAATTTATTAATCCCGATTTTCACATTTACTAAAATGTTTGAGTAAAATTGTATTGGTTTTAATTTTTTGTAAAAAAACTGA